GTGCATGGGTGTGCATTATACACATGTGCTGCAGTTTGTTTTTTTGCATCACACTACTTTGGTCCAATTAGAATAAGCCAATTAGATTGTAAGCCCTCACGGGCAGGGCCCTTCTTACCATCTTGTCTTGAATTGTATTGTAATGGTAATGTCTTACTTATATTGTAAAGCGCTGCGCAAACTGTTGGCGCTATATAAATTCTGTATAATAATAATAATTTATCCCCACCCTCTGCATATGTCCATACAACCAGTTTGCTACCTATTTGCATACAGTTTCCTCAATGCCAATAGACCTTAGTTTGTAAAGTAACCTTTTTCGGGGTACTGTGTCGAATGCCTTTGTGAAGTCCAGATGAACTACATGTACTGCGATTCCTCTGTTCACCTAAGAACTCACCTGCTCATAGAATGTCAATAGATTTGTCTGGCACGAACGGTCCTTCATAAATCTGTGCTGGGTAGTAGCTATGATGCTCTTATCACATGCAAATTTTTGAATACAATCTCTGGCCATTCCCTCAAAAATGTTGCATATTACCGACATGAGGCTGACCCGCCTGTAGTTACCTGGTATACATCTTGATCCTTTTTTTAATATTGGTACCACATTTCCTTTCCTCCAGTCATCTGGTACCACTCCCATCATTAACCTCCCTGGCGGTCTGATTAATAAATTATTTTTTTCCTTTTTTGTTCTCTCTTTTTGTTTTGTTTTTTTTAACTTTTAAAATTCCCGCCGGTTCCGCCCCCCTGCGACGCGGACGCTCGCAAGGGACGGAACCCAGAAGACGGATGCCGGCATTCGCCGGAGGACACAGCGGGGATCGTGAACAAGGTAAGAGACGCTACGCTGTAATCCCGAGTGTGGCTCGGGTATACCGCTTATGGTACTGAAAATTAACCCCGAGCCACACTCGGGATTACAACCAAGTGTTCTTGCCGCTTCCACTTTCTTTTGTTTCCCCAAAAGGACCGCAAACTTGATTACTCTATGATCGCTGTTACCCAAGTTGCCCCTTACATCCACATCTGTGATTAGTTCTGTATATTTAGAAATTAGTAAGTCCAACACAGCATTATTTCTAGTTGTTTTTTCCACCATTTGTCCTGTGTAATTATCTTGAAGACAGTGTATGAAGTGACGGCCTTTGTTGAGTGTGCAGTTCCATGTGCCCAATCAATATGTGGGTAGTTGAAGCCCCCTATAATTATAATGTTGGCTTCCTTTCCTGCCATCTCTATCTGTGAAAGTAGTTGAATGTCCTCCTTGTCGCTTTTGGTAAGGGGTCTATAACATATACCTATCAATAATTTACCCTTTTTATGCATTTTTTTTTCTTCTATTTAGCCTGAAGGACTCTGCACCTTCCCCAGAAGCGTTATTGATGTCTTAATCACTTGCAAGTCACTGCCATGGATATTCTGAATACGATTAATAAACCATGAGACTCCAAAACCTGAGACGCTTCTGAATGTGATCCTTTTACATTCTAATAATCTTACATATATAGTAATATCTGCATGAACCCATCATGTAATATACCACATACTGCATCCTGCATGTTATGGAACTCATTTACACAATGTATGTAACTCCCAAGTCTAATCTTATTATCTCCAGGCAGATGTGGACATATACTACAGTTTCTAATTTCCTACAGGATGCATCTCTGTTATTAGGGACTCTTTTACTCTTGGATGTATTCACTTTCACCAATTAACCCTTAATAGTTTTACACCTCCCAAATGTTACAATGAGATATGTATTGGTTTTAATCCTCTCCTCTTGTTGTACTATCTGCCAATTCTCTTTTATACTGGGTTTATTTGAACATGCCTTAGGGAAAAAATATAAAAGGACGAATGGAAACAATCGGTTTTCTTTTTATCTTTAATCAAATCTTCCCTTTCATCTTACTTGCTTTTATCAGTGCTCTTTTAACCTCTTTTTTTTATCATACTTCTTATTCTCCAATCTTATACTAACTTCCTTAGCTTGTTGTACAAAATTCTGCTCACCTCTATTATTATTCTTCAGTTGCACAGACTGACCATAAGGGATTGCACATAATATGGCAAGGATGATAGCTACTATAATGTAAAAGAGCAATAGCTGTTGTCTCCTTTCTATTTCCAAGAGTAATCAACCCTGCCTTATGTAGCTGAAGGCCATAGGTGTGCTGAGGAGGCCCTCAACTAGGTCTGCCAATGCTCCTGCCTGGCGGCTCCCTAATTTGCCAGCACGGATCTGCAGCTGCCAGACATGCAGATTCTATTCCCCACCTGACACGTAGATTTTACTGGCCACCTACCTAACCAGAGGATTAAACTTCATCTGCTTGACAGGAATATTGTAGGTGAATTTCACCCATGTTGGTGAGTTTTAGTGTCTGCATGCCACGGACCTACCTGGCGCTATACTTCATACTTGCACACACACAGTTCCCCTGCAAATGCACAGCAGAATCTTAATCCACAAAATAGCTTTGATTTTATTCCTGCCCTAACTTATAGTACAGGAATATAATAAATGCTACTTGTGGTTCAAGATTCTGTTGTGCTTTTATTAGAGCCTGCATGTGTGCATAATACATACGTTTTGATCCATCTAGGTAGGGGAGACTTCTGCTACAATACTGTTTTTGTTGTTTTTCTTTACACGAGCCATTACAAACATTAATTCTACAGTGTTTGGGACTGATACGCTGGCTGAATTGTATGGATTGGTGCTATTAGTTCTGGTCTAAGGTCTGCCGTGAATTGGTTCTGGTGTGAGGTCTGCCGTGGGTGGGAGGGGAAGCATTTGCAGAGGACAGCAGCTGGTGCCAGACACTGAGCAGGGGCCCGACGCTGGGGTAGGGTTTGCAGAGGACAGTAGCAGCCAGCAGGTAGAGACTTACAGCCAGTGGCTGAACTGGGGCCATTGGGGGGGTG